GCCGAGCGCGTAGTTCGGACGGTGGCACGCGTATCGCGCGAATGAGACTATGACACACGATGAACGAGTATAAGCTTGAGTACATTTTTTTACGTACATGTCTTAGAATATTAATGATATTATGATGATATATCCGTGACGTGAAAATCATCGGAGGGACAGTAAAATAATATTAATACGGAAGAAAACCGCAAGACTATATAGGCGGGAGTAGGTGTATATACTCGTAATATAAATTCGTAATATATACATATATATACCTACGATTTTATTTTGTATCCGAGACGTATACCCGGAGAGTATATTCAACCAGGAGTGTCGGGCCAGCATGGGGCCCCCAGCCACGTTGGTAGTTGGTACTATACACGACGGGCGTAGTAAATATTATATACCTCCTAGGCCAGTGGTTGTCGTCGTAAATTAATATTACCATAATTATTATTATTATTATTATTATTATTAGCATCATGTCACGTATATACACATTACACATACACAAGACGACGCTGTGCGTTCACCAAATACACACCTGACGACCGACACGCCGAATAAAAATCGTACGACGAAGAAGAATAATAAAAAACAATATAAATATAAAATACTGTACTTACAACAGTCAACAATCATTATGTAATCTTATTAAATATAACACGGTATGATTCAGCAATTCAGCTCATCCAAAAAAAGTAAAAGATTATACACGGTTTTTTTTGTACCTAAATTTACGGAGAGACGGAGGGAGGGGTGGCGAAGTTATTAAAACTTTTTGGAGAATTCACTAACTTTTTAAATCCTAACTATTAGCAATACACGTATTCACATTTTTGTACTAAAAAATCGCAGTTCCAGTTGCGGTTTATCGTATGTATAATTATGTAACCGACTGACTTGGGTTTCTCACTTGGGTACCCTCCCTTCACATATCATATGTATAAATAATAGATCACAATTCACAAGACATACGAGCGTTATTTCTGAGGTCCAGAAACGAAATGTGATGAAAAACATAATACCGAATTCAAAGATGACATGACGTTATTTATAATATATATATTATATTATATTATAACTGTGACTTAACACCGGTTTTACTCGATACTCAGAACTTCTCTCGGTGTAATATGTGCACCTACATCTGTGCACTACTATTATATTGTTTATTTGAAATACTTCAAAAACCTACTTCTATACCTATATAGTAAAATACACATATACAACGCCTTTGTTAAATGTCCACATAAGTTTAAACTCAAGTCAATAGTTGTAAGAAGTTACGAAACCTGGGAAGACTGCTAAACTGCACTCCTTACCTAAATCAAAATAAAATGTTCTCGAATTACACCCGGGTCAAATAGAAAATTTTTCTATTACACTCGAGTCGATCATTAGTCATAAGTCATAACATATTAATAATGAACATTACGTTAACTATCGACTTTAGTTGACAATAAATGCATGTGTGTGTCAATCAATTTAGTAATACAAATCACAATGACAATAAACATAATTTTTTATTGTTATTTTTAAATTGTAACTTTATGTAGAATTTAAATTGCTTCAATTTATTAATCTCAAAAAAATAAACTTCGAATTCTGCAACGTCAGTTCAATTCAACCCTCCCCCCCCCCAAATCCACCACAAAGCGGAGGGCTCATGGCGAAAACAAGTATACATTTATTCATGTCATTATTCCTAAAGATCGCGGTCGACGAGTGCTGCAGTCCAAAATAGGTCCACTCGAAGAGATTATATTATCTAATATTATATAAAGTCGTTATAATATAAATCGGTTAAATTCGTTCATAACCACAGTGACTTTAATTGTTTTTCGATTTTGCTATACTTATACAAGAGCAATGATACTAAACTTGATCACTAGCGAGTAGGTATATATAGTGAATATCCTCTCCGGGTAAAACTGTATGCGTTTAAAAGACTCGAGGTTTTTTATTCCTTTCGACGAAACGTTTATTAACGCGCTCCAATTATTATATACGTCTGCGAATAATAATAACTCGTACATGGGTATCTATAGTCGGTACTCAGTCGTATATTATAGCAGAGCGATTACGCTGGTGTGCGCATAAATGTTGTTCATAATAATAATAATAATAATAATATTATTATTATTATTATTATACGCCGAAAGTACAGCATTCCGTCGCGTATAAAACCAGATCATCCTCCCCGCTCCTCCCGCACGAGCATATTATAATATATATTACTTATACGATGTATATACATTATACACCCACCACCACCTCCACTGCCTCGTATTATAATCACATCGCATGCGGTTCCGCGCTGCACGCACCTGTTTCGGACAGACCGTGGTTTATTATGTACGTATATAGGAACATAATAGGTATGTATTATAATACACCACGATCGAGACTTGTTTTGCACTGCAGCCACCGCAGCCTAGACGGTTGCGGTGCGCGTCTGCAGGTTCACTCCAATAATAATTAAAAGTTATAAAACCCGTCATTCGTGTACAATAATATAATATTATATTCGTATTGTGTGAACATGCAGATAATATTATAATAAGAGTATATGAAGAATAATATAATCTACTTGGACGTTCGAAGAGCGGCGTCAAAGCGCATGACTTTTTTGACTTATGAAGTTGTCTACCCATAGGTTATGTCATAAAGACGGGTGATACACAGTGGTGAATCGATTTTTGGAACCCATCTAATTCGTAACGAAAAAGTCGACATGAAAAATTCGATTTTCCAAAAAATAAGTGATTATTGATAAGTGAAATATGAACTAGAAATTTAAGATAGTGTGATGGTAGACACTGAAAACGGCACTACTGATTACTGAAGTCTGACAAAAATGAGGTGGGATGATGTGTCGATTCATCAAAAAAATAGGATTACAGAGATCGATTAATCGGTCAAAAAGATCGACTCAGATCGCCCATCACTACTATATAATACAATTAGTACCTACCCACACAACCGAGGTTATAATTATTATCGAGGTATAATAGTCTACAGTCACGGTGAAAAAATGGGAATTTCAGAAAACTTAAAAAATGTTTACCTTAAAAGTTAAAATCTTTTACAGGGTCAACGTTATACAATATATTGTACATTTGAATGCTAGATAGAACTTATCTGCCCTTACTATGTCGTAAAACTTTTGCGTATAAAAACGTCGAGGAGTGTTTTCGATAAAAAAGATTGGTTTAAGTTTTACCGTAGTAAGATTTTCTTCATACATTTAAAATATAATATATGTACTCAATTTAAACGGATAGTCGCGAATCGTCCTGTTTCCAGAGCATATGACTTTCGTCATTGATAGTAATAATTATTATAATATACCTAAATATACACTGCGCATATAGACGAGGTGAGGGAGCTGTTCCGAACGATGAAAACAATCGGCTTGAACGAAGAACAAAAAATTGCTTTTTTTTCTTCCAACTTTTTATCCTCCTATTCGGTCGACGCCACCGGCCATATACGCACGCACGCAACACGTACGCCGGCCCTGTCCTTTACTACATTTCTTAATTAACACAAGGACCGGTTTTCGTGTTTTTTTCTACGCAAGGAGAATCGCCGAGTGATATTATTTGTCGCCGCGTCGCGGTGGTCGGTTTTATTATCATATATATATACCTGCCAGGCCGCGTGCTGCCACCGCCGCCGAGGCGCGTTCGTTCTCGGCGAAATCGCACACGATCATAACGTAAGGTACATAAAAAAAAATCACAACTCGAAATTCAATACATATACCTACGGCAGGAATTTCTGAAATAAAAAATACCGATCGGATACATATCTCGTCGTATATTTTATCCGTGCTCGTGTTCTTTATTTAAACGACACTAAACTACATTATGTGTACCAATATAGGTATGTGAAATTATTCCGATAATTTGTTCTTTGTCAGTGGTGGGAGAGGGCCCAGGGCGCACATTTTAAAACACGTGTAAAAAGGCAAGTTTGGGTATCAATTCAAGGCATTTTCAAGTTGAGTCCGTTACACTTTACGTGAACCTCAGGGTCGGAGCTGAGATCCATATTTTGTTCCATGTATTCCTACATTAAATAAATGAAACGCAAGTTTCTCATTTATCTTTAAAAAAAAAATAATAAGTATGTGAAATAATAAAGATTTTGTTCTGTGACAACATATAATATTGCTAAACTCATTAGCACTAAGAATTTAATGCATTCTTCATTTCTTCTGACATTTTTTTCTTAATTTCTGATATCATTTAATTAATTTATAGTTCAATATCACATTGTATCGTTAACATGTTATCATGAAACTCACAGTACAAACACTAAAATAAACTGTGCATATTTTTACTGATTAACGTTTTGAGCGTGACTTGTTTTAAAATAATCTAGTTTAAATATAATATTAATAATTTATACATTTTGGACAATTCGGAGATAAAAATTACTGATTCGCTTCTGGTTTTATTTATATTATTTGTTTTTACACTGTAATTGTCGAAAGCGCGTTTTCAATTAATAAAAATAAATATAATATATTTGGGATTGAGCTGTTTTCTTTAAACGCAGCCGAACAACAATGCATTTAATAATGGAAATATATAAATAAGGAAAATGGTTAACTTCGTTTTCTATGTTTCATATATTTTGCATTTTACAATTTGTAAGTGTATACATTTTAAACTTGTTTAGATGGTACATTGAGTACGTACTACACGGCTCTACAAATCATAATTAAAAGTTAACCCTAAATGCACGAATGCTCTATTGTAACCTCTTAAGTAAATATTTTAATTTAACAAATATTATTTTTAATATCATGCACATGGCCGAGTGAAGAAATATATATTTACTAGACAATAAACTAAGCCACAATGAATTATTCATCAGCAGCAGTTGCTCTTATAAATTATAGTGAGGAAGGGTCCAACCAAAAAATACTACAATGGGTGAGAAGTATTTTTCTGATATTCAAGGCGTTAAATGTATATAATAAAACTTAATAAAGTATTTACTTGTGATCGCGCAAATGGTCCTGCCTTCGGAACGCTTTTTTGCAAATGTCACACGAGTAAGGCCTCTCGTCCGTGTGCGTTCGCTCGTGTATCAACAGGTTGTAGCTCTTGGTGAACTGCCGATTGCAGAACCGGCATATGAACTGTTTTTTGGGTCGGGATGCCCGGCCGATGCCACCAGCGCCCGCACCCACGGCCGAGGCACGCGGTCGCGGGGCCACTGAGCCGAACGCGCCAGGGCCGGTACCCGCAGCTGGCCCACCGAACAGCGACGAATGAGGCTGTCTACCGTACTGGCCGCCAGGGTTGAGCAGGAACGGGTGAGCATAGCCACGCTGGTGCATGACGGCCTGCAATACCTTGTTCTTGTCCAGCGCCATGGCCATCAGTTCGTTCTGCTGTTGCTGGTGGAGCAGCGAAACGGCCGCAGCTGCCGCGGCGTTGGCCGACGGCGACTGTTGCTGTTGCTGCGATTTGTGTTTGGGTACGTACATGCCCGGCGTCGGCTGTTGCTGTTGCTGCTGCTGGAGCGACGAAAGGTGGTGGTGCTGTTGGAGGGCCTTGTGCTTGTCAACCATCATGGACGCGGCGAAAAAGTCGGCCGACGACGGCGACGGCTGTTGTAGCGACGCGATCGACGGGTGCCCGTAGAACGATCCGCTGGACGGCATGACCGGCACGAACGCCGATCCCACGCCCGGCTTTACGCCCTCGCCGCCGACAGAAGCCGACTTTCCGCCACTGCTTCCGCTCGACATTATGCTAATCGCCTGAAACACACGCTTCACGTAAGTCGCATTGTTCTCTGTAAGCACATACATTATAATATAATATTATTATTATATTTATGTATAGAATATAGGTACGTTATTATAATATTTTATTGTCGACTGAACGCGCGCGACAAACGCTTCTATTTAGGATATTTTTTTGGTTCTTTGTTACTATTATTATTGTTCGTCCGTTACGTGAACAAGTCGGTCGACGTCGAAACCAAACCGGCTTCTATATAATATAATATATTATAATAAACAATGGACGGGTAATTCGTAGGACGTTTTCGTTTCGAGCCGGGAAAGAGAGATCGACAAGCGTCTTTAAAACTCGGTACCTAGGTGGTATACTGGTATTGTAGTGGTATGTATAAAAAAATATTCGTTTATTTTACAGTTTTTGAGTTAACGGTTCTACAGTTATAAAATCAATGGCCATAAATTATACTAATGACATAAAATAAAACAATCTATCTACTTATAAATGGTAGTGGTACACTCAGTGACGGATCCAAGGGGGGGGGGCGGATAAAGCTTCTATACTAATGTTTATTTTCATTTTTTTTATTTATTGTATTTATATTACATCGTCTTTAAATGATAATTTAACAAGGAGCACTATAGTAACAACGGCCAACGAAAAATGAGCCGCGATTGTCATGCTCCAAGTGGCCGTTTTTTGTCAGGGCTTCCACAATTATTCCCCGTGTACATTAATTATTAAAAAAACATTGAGTGTACTGTGTACAAACTACATATCATTATTTTTTAAATATTCACATTAATGATACGCTATTTATTAGTAAAATATTTTCACACAATATTAATCATAAACTATATTATATACAATCGGATTTTGTAAAAGTAATCTGATGAGAACCACTGTTTACGAAGAGAACGGTCACTCGGAGCATGACAATCTGGGCTCACTTTTCTTTAACCATAATATAGCGATGAATTTAATACTCTTGTAGTTATAAAGTTATGTTATATTTCAAAAAAGTACAAGATATAAATATTTGTTTAGCCAACTCCATATTTATATATTATATACTGTCAAAGTTTGGCATATGATCATAATATACTTTTTAAATCGCATACGTATTGATTATTATTTATTTTTTAAGGCTAAATCTTCGCCGTTCCTGCAATTATTGTTTATGCGACATTGCGACCCGACCTTGGGACTCTAGTCATCATGTTTGAAACTTAAAAATTTTTTTTTTTGTTTGACTAAGCTTACGGCTTATCGAGTATTTATTCACAAATCAATGAATAATTTGAAATAATATCAATAAATTAGTAAAAACTATTTTAGTTTTATTTAAATTTTAGACTGAAAAAATTATGAAATTAACAAATACTTTTGTTCAGGTATTAGATTGGTGACTAAATATCATACATTCTTGGCAGTAGGAATATTTAAATAAAGTTAATTTTAAGTTACAACTAGATGCTAGGGAAATTATATTTTAAGCGTTAAATGATGATCCCATGATAAATTGCACCGATATTTTATCTAATCTTAAAACACCACTAAAGCTCTATTATAATGCAGTGTACTTGAATAAATTATTATTAGATATTCAATATTGTACACAATAAAATTCGTATAAGATTTACCAGAAAATTTTTTATCCATCGTATTCATTAATTATTAAAATGAATTATTTTATATTCATGTTGAAGTCGGAAGATTTCAACTAAAATTTTTTTTTTCGATATTCGATATTATTCTAGTTTGAAGTTTTTAATTTATTAATACAATTCTTATAAAAAGAGCCATTTATATTTAGTATTAATAATTCGAATTTTAAACTAATTAATATTAGAGGGTTGGTGGTTACTATCTTAATATTATTGTATAAAGAATAAAACATATACCAAACCATTGTAGGCTGTTGTAGCTCTCAATAATAAACTTCACAGCAGGCTACGGATTCGCAGCATAGGTACTCATATATTAATACATATATAAATTATTATATTATATAACAAGTTAACTTGGCCTATATATTGTACGTATCAAACGTGTTCACTGTTCATATTATACTGCAAGAACGAAACCTATGGCGAACGTTTTTTTATTATTTTTTTTTTATCTGAAATCACAAATCTGAGAATGCGAGTTCCGACGATCCGACTACGAGGCATTTAAATACAATAGGCATGTATAAATCACGTGCGAGAATATAGAAATCCAAGCGAAAAAAACAGCATTTTTTCAACTGTCTACCAAGAACTCAATATGTAACAAAAAAAATATTTGACGATCGCGTTTCATTCGGATAAACGCGTAGGTATATTTATTTTATAATCTCTGAAGTCTGGTTCAGATTAAGTAAACGCATATCCTTATCACGGACACCGCCGCATCAATTATTGCACGCACTGGGTTTCATGATGATGATTATTGATTACGAATAATAAACGCATATATATTATTATTTTATTATTGTAAAACGTGTAACGACGCGTACACGGTAGTCGCACGTACAGATCTATATGCGATGATAATTTATGCGCGATAAAAATATCGTAGTCAAAAACTCGTTTCCGACGGATGGCTATAAATACTTAAGAGTAAAATATAAAAACAATAAGATATTATATTGATTTGTACGTAGATTTAGAGCGTATAATAGTGGCGATTCCTAAATGTATATGATATAAATACTACAATGATACAACAATATGGAATTAGCTGCGTGGAATAGTCGATATTTTGACCATGAGACGTGATTTATTTAAATATAGTTCAAATATATTAATTTTAAAAAACATTTTCTCATTAATTTAAATATTGATATCCATTCGAAGATGAAAATATCTTAATAAAAAAATTAAGGAAAAAGTACCTAAGCAGACAGCGTTATCAATCACATATAAGTTTGACATGGTAGGTAAAATTTACCCGAAATATTTTAACTGCAAAACTGTTATGTCCTCAGAAACACGACAACAAATGTTGTAGAAATGTGACAAGCAATACCAAACAGTTTTTGTAAAAATATGTATAATCAAAAAAATCAGAATTCGAGTAACTATGACCGAAAAAAGTTGAAATTTGGTGACAACTGGCAACAATCAATATTCGTAATAGTTTTCAGTGGCACTGCGTTCCGCGAAGATGATATTATTTCGTTTTGGCTGTTGATGGCATCCTCACCGATACAATATTATGGCACGTCATTGTAGATTGTCGATTTGAGCTCGGACAATGCGATTCAGATAATGCAAGACGGACGAGCGCAACAACACACACAAGAGGCTGATATTTTATTATTGTTGTTAATATTGTTGTTGCAATATTGTGTCCGGAGGGACTGCAAGACTATTGGGGGGATGGACCATGGACGAAAGGGTCGAAAATTCTACCTGTAAAAATCGCGTCGATGTGTGTACACAAACAACACGTACCGGACGCGACCGCCTTCGGCATTTTCCTCACTCCCCACCTTCCGATATGCCTTCCGTAAACGTAAATAGGGTCGGACAATTTGCAAGACGCGAATCCAACAAGTCTTTTTTAAGAGAACATTTATAAACCGAGACGCTTCACAAATTCGTTATCCCCAATCACAGAGGTTTCTCACAGACCAAAGAACTTGTTATAGCGACTGCGTTGAACAAAAAAAAAATGTATTTTATCTTACTCTCACAACAATGAATTCCTTCCACAACTTACGATTGAACAGTCGTAGGAGCACAACTTGGGAAGTGGGTTTGAACTAGCGATTAAAGTTTCCTGACACGCAAATAGAACGGTGGCACTACCTACTCCAGTGCTCGCGACACGTAATCACAAACGACACCCGTATAATAGCCAATAGGTATAATAAAAATAGATTATTATTGTGATACTCTATATTATGTCGATAATATAATCTTATCGAACTCCTTAATAGACATTATTATACTAACATTTATCATCGTCGTGTTTACTACAAAAATACATTGTCGGCCGCTACTTGCAGTAAACCATAGTTACGCCGAGCCACCGTCGTCAGGTAGAAGGAATATCGGCCCAAAGCAATATTATAAATTATTTTTATAGGTACACCTCATCCGTCAGTGACCGGCAAGAATTTATCAATTCTTCGGATATTCATTAAACTAACAACATATTATAATTTACATTTTATTGCCGTAGGACCCAGGAACAATCGACTGTTCATATTCGCGCGGGTTATTCAAGGACAGGGCTTCCGCGATATCTCCCTCCGCAGGTCCACGCGAGGTTCAATTAGCGGCGACGGTGTTCAAAGTTACGCTCACGGACGTCTTAAATCTCGATCCCATTACTTTATCGAGGAGGGGGTGGGGTTGTGGGGATGACCAGTTCAATCCAACTTCAAGACAATTTTGAAAGTTAATATTTCCTTTAATTATGTACGTCTGTTTTGTAACTACTGTTGTCACCAAGATGTTTCCACCCGTACCACCCGGCAGAATAAATTGATAGGCCTTGAATACCGCCCCCCCCCCCCAAGTGCTTTTTGGGCCTTTTCCGCGGTCGGGAACGAAAAGCGCCGATAACTGCAGCGAGACGACGATTATAAACGAATAATATTTTATCGTTTCGAACCGGAAGGCACGCGATAATCCACATAATATCGTCGGACAGTGTCGACGATGATAACACACTAACAAGGGTAAATACACATTACCTACTTATCGCGTAGATAAATATAACATCTGCGATATTGTTGTACAGTATTAAAGAGTCTTGTGGAATTTACACTTACGTGATAGGACAGACGTCGGAAAATCCGATGTGTCCACACGCGGCGGCGGGGAAACGAAAACGGAACACTACTGGCGCACGCATACGTCAAGTCGTAACGACGACTACCGTCAGGACCGAGTGAAACGACGAATTAATAATGAAAATCGAAACTCGCGACGTCGAATGAAAAAAAATCATCGATCCGCGCCGGAAGAATGCGGCGGGCGAACGAACGGACGGACGGACGGACGCGGACGCACTGTATAACGAGGCACTCGCGCAGGGCGCATACACGGCGAGACGTAATCGTTATTATTCTAGTCGTTACGGACAAAAACTGACGAGGGAATAACGAAACAGGTACCCGATCGTTCAGCCTCTGCTGGTACTGGGTACTGGTTCCGTCGTGTCGTCGGCGACGGCGGTGGCCGTCAGATGCTACGGTGCGCGGGTGACGACCCGTACGGTGCAGTGGGGGGAGTACGGTGGCTGAGTGGGAGTCGGCGGCGTCGGTGTCGGTGCCCTTCGGACGACCACGCTGGTAGCGGCACCTGTTGTCGGTTTCTCGCACTAACAATGTGGACGTGCGTGCGCGATCGCGGTGTTCACGTAACTTTATACGTCATGTACGTACGATAATAATAATAATAATAATAATAATATTATAAAAACTACTGTAGGTATATACCTGCGACCGACCGGGCGACCGGGCCGGCTACCTGTACATCGCCGTGCCACCAGCTGCGCCTGCCCACACGGTCGTCAGCGTCGTCGGTGGCGAAGTGGGGTGGAACTGCGGGGAAGACGAAAAGCAGAAGAGACGGAAAAGTTATAAAGAAATAGAAATCTCCAGTGGTGGGTACGAGGAGCGAGCGTACGACCGCGGCGGCGGTTACGATGTCCACCCGACGGGCATATTATTGTGTACATACATTATAATATATTATTATTATTTTTATTACGGTACAGCGACACGGCGGCGTACACATGTGTAGTGAAATATATTATATTATAATACTCGTGAGTTATCAATACAGTGCAGTTAATATTGTAATTGTATTTTTGTTTTAATAACTCGTGTAGCCTCTTCTGCTCCTCCTCTACCGCGCACGATTTATGCGTGCTAGTGAGGTGTGACGATAATATTATATCAAATAGGTAACAAACTATAGGTATTAGGTAATCTTGTTGGACCGCGGTGTACCTAGTTTGTGCCTTACTTGGCGCTAGCTTTTCTAAAAACGGCGTTTGCGACTGTAGAACCTGATTCTGGTAGTACAGGAAATAACAAAAGTACAGCACTCAAGTGTTGACAACAATAATTGTGGTATGTGGACGTTTCCCCCCTCCCCGTGCCTTTCCCCCTGAGTATTTTAGTGGTGGTGGACATTTCTCCATAAATCAATATAATATAATTAATATATTTTTTTTACACATAAATATAAGTTCTTTGTTTTTACCCGAAATAAATAATTATCATATCGGCCATCTATCGGCTATCATCATTCATGTCATGGATTTATTACTCAATTTAATGGGTAATTATTGATAAACCAAAGTTATGTGAAACTATTATTGAATTATATTTATGGATTAGTTTAATCATTTGTACATTTATTGATTTGCATTGCATATTATTGTTTAATATTTTTACTTTTAATTCTTTGTCCGGAGGGAAATTGATCTGCTCGGGGGGGGGGGGGGAGACACGTGGGGAAACGTCCTACGTCCTAGATTCAATAATTGTATGATGGGCACTGGGCAGTTGAAATATGAAATAATATGTCATAATATATACTTTTATATTCTTAAAGGTTAAGTTACGATTTATTTACAACCACACGAGGCGCTAATAAAAAATGTTATAAGTCAATAGGTATGTATACTTGAACTTACTTAATAGGAAAAAATAAAAATTAGACATCTACACTGTGGAAAACGTTTAAAATGATGAATCTAGGAAAAAAAGAGCCCCGTACTAAATACATGTTTCTTTTTTTTTTATTTGCAAGATTACATATAATCATAATAACCATAATATAATCATTACATTTATTTTATTAATTATTAAATTATTATATTATTATGTATCTAATTTATTATAGGTACTAGGTGGTACATTTATTTGATTAAAAGGCATTTGCCTAAAAGTAGTTATTTAAAAAAATTAAAATTTAGTATATGACATTAAATAATAACTAATTATATCACAGTTAAAAATCATTACATGAATAACATTCCTTATCATGCATTCATGCATTACCCGGTTACCTCGTACTTAATTCAACAGATGAAGTGAAGTCAATATGAATACTCTGAGATCAAGTCCTTTGATCTGATACCCAACAATGGTAAAATACAAAAATGTCATACCTACTGTTAATATAAAAACGTAGAAGGTACAATTATTAAGTCAATCGTAAACTTTTAGTTTACGGTTTAGTGGAGATGTTGCAATCTGTAAATTTTTGCATTACAACACAGTATACAAGAATACTTTTTTAAATTCAAGTTATCCATCGATATCTAAATACCTTCAAATAATATTAATGATTTTTTTCACTTTCGTATAAGTTCTTTTGAAAAAGCGTTTACATTGTTATGGTTAATGAGTCAATACAATTTTATTACGTTTAATGGTGTTAATAATTTATTGTTAAACAATTACTACTTTAAATTTCTTGTAAATCCAGTTTTTAACAAATATAATAACTATTACAAACAATTCAATAACGATAGATTATGAATTGCGACAATTCCACCTATTAATTGTTATAGTCTATATAGAGTGTACTCGAAAATTGTTTGCTTTTGGTAACAAGATCAATTCACTGTACCGATTTAATGAACCCTCGAATATTATTAACTGGAAAGATAAAAAAAAATTCTGAAACCCTTAGGCTATTATTCCTGAGCCTCCATATTATATGCAATGAAAAAATTGCCCAATTAATATTAATATTTTTTTTATTTTACAAGACTTTCTCGTAATTTATGGTAATTATTTTGAACATTAAAACTTTATTTTAAATATTTGTAACAAAAAACAAAATATATCGGTTATTTAATGGACACTGAATGAAATTCATTTCGCGTTTTGATTTAATATCGCTTCGGAGAGAATGCAGCATAACGTTATCCTGTGTAATTAAAAAATACGTGGACTGCAGTGTGTAGTTCAAAAAGTATTAAAATTAATAGGTTTTTCGTGCATGTTTTTCCGTTTTAATTTTTTGAAGGAATATTTTGATTCTTATATAGTTATAGAGTACATATAAATAATAAGCTCTGAGATATTGAGATTATATCTTAAATGCAACTGTTTTGTAAAACAAATATATGAATTATAGGTAATATATTATTGTAAGTATATATTAGCTGTAAGCCTGTAACCAGTATTCATTGCATTGTAAGTACATTGAGAAATGTAAAGTGTAAAAGAGTACCTGTTGGCTGTTATCAACATTATTCTCTATAAGAATTTTTTTTTTTTTTTTAAATAAAATTTTATTTTTAATATTTAAAAATCAAAATACATGTTTTTAAATATTTAATTGCATTTAAATATTTCTATGTAGTCTATACTTTTTTTTTTTTACTGACAATAACTTAAAGACTCAATATTTTTTTAAGAACATTTTGTACAGAATTCAATATATTTTCATAATTATTACGTGTACAATTATAAATTAGGTAATTTCTAACATTTTTCAGAGCTGACTGTTTTTAATAATTAGTGTTATTAGTTGTTAGTCATAAATAATTGTTGTCTGAATCCATCTAGATTATAGATTATTACTTATTAATTATTAGTTTCCCTTCAAATGAAGAATGCAGATACTATTTAGTATTCATACGATGTACACTAAAACGTCTAAAATTTATTTATATGACAAAACTGAGACTATTTGGTCTTGGACTCTTGGAAGTGAAATTTATAGTGTCTCTTTCATCCTTCAAACTGTATGTATATAGACCAGCCTTCAACCTATCTGCCAGAACCCGTTCAACAATTAAAAACGTATACATGATTCGTGTATGTATACAAAAAATGCAAAAGTTTAACAAAACCTGCGCGTACTTCCGTACTATTTCCATAAATATCTAACCTCAAACGATTGAAAACATGACCGTTATGGCAAAACGCTCCTCTGTAAATAAATTGTACACTTTTCAAACTCATCATTATTTTTAGAAAATTACAAATTTAGTTTTCGTAGAAAAATGTATAATACTAACTGCAATATGTGCACTTTTTCTTCTAAATAAAAAAATGAACGGCGGCAAGAAGGTTATAAAAAGTATGCGTAGGTACCGATAATATATAAATGAACTCAAACCGCGGCGGCCAACGTCGTAGTTATGCCGTTATGCCCGACCCGGTTTAAAATTAATTATACAATTAATAATCTAGTAAAAACACTATACAGAAGTCAGTCACACGGCATTAAACTCTGTGTTCTTCGCGTGTTTTTAACATACAAACATACTATAATATATACGATAGGTTTACATACAGTAGTACGTCGGTCGTTATAATATGTATATACACATTATATATTACAAACAATAGGAAATATCAGGATTGTTTATACGAATAACGAAAACCGTTTGTGTAAAGCATTAAGGCTTACGTACAGGTTATACAGTAATATACAATAATTATGCGGAACCGCGTATTACTCACGTCAGACGATTCGCAGTGAAAATTTATCGTACAAACAAAAAACGGAAACTTGACTTCTTTCGCATTCTACATTTTTATGTAGTAATGTGTTTTATTATAATGTTATTAATGTATAATGATATTTAAATTATCATTTATCGTGTCTAATAGGTACTATGTAAGCTGGTATTTTAATTTATAATAAATGTATATATTGTGATCGTTGACTAGTCGTAATCGTTGCATTTCGTACGCTTATTCGTTGACAGTGGAATGTGTACAAGCCATAAAATTATCAGTTTTTATGGCACACGGATTTGAGGGAAAACAACCATTTCACTCGGTAGGTAAACTGACGGTGGCCAGATTATATGGCAGGGAACCCGACAAAAAGTACAGATTTTCTATAACAGTAATACATTTTTGTATTATAATATTATAATAAATATACGTGTGCGTGTGAGCAGTAATCTCTGTACAAACGAACGGTCTTGATGCAGTGTGTGTGTGTGTGTGTGTGTGTGTGTGTGCCGTATACACATACAGGGTGCTTGTCGTCTTATACGCACCAACGCGCCAGTGTAAGATATATACATATAACTAATTGATTATATATTTTATGGAAAATCCTAGAGTAATTCATTGCTATTAAAATATTTATTCAGATATACCTAATAATCAACTCTTTTGGAAATTGGCTAGCTATCGCCTGCCTAAGACATATTAAAAAACGAGCAAACAACGATTTTCGTTTTTTTTTTGCATTTTGATTTCAGGTATAAATCTTAATAGTTACAGATCACTGATAAAGTAACAATT